CAGCGGCTGGGAAGGGGGCAGCAAGGAGGGAGCTGAACCCGTGACACGGCCCAGCTTTGCTTACACGAGCGCGACCCGTATGGCGGGACACGTGCTGAGCAAGTGAGCTAACGACGATTGGCCGTGGGTGACTTGCGCTGACGGACACGGCCCGCGGGGCACATCGAGTTCACAGAATCACAGGGGTTGGAAGGGACCCCGGGAGATCATCCAGTCCGACCCCCCTGCTAAAGCAGGCTCTCCCAGGGCATGTTACACAGGACATCACCCAGGCGGGCTTTGAGCATCTCCAGAGAAGGAGACTCCACAGCCCCCCTGGGCAGCCTGTGCCAGGGCTCTGTCACCCTCCAAGTAAAGAGTTCAGCGCAGAACGCTGCAGCAGCTTCGGAAGAAAGAGGAGAATGTGCCTGTTCGACCTGGGGTGGACGCAGCGCTGGAACACCAGCAGAACCCAAAGCAACTTTGTAAGTCGGAAGCTATCTGCAAGAAGGATGGAAGTCAAGAGGAAGAAGCGAGGCAACTGCCTGGCAGCGTGAGGGGAACGAAAGGCACGAAGGAGAGGGGGAGTCGCACGGAGGCAGCAGTCCTGCGGGGGAGGACCTGAAGTGATCCCCGCCGGGCACTGGCCTCACACAGGCCCCCTCTTCCCGAAGCCACCAGGCCAGGCCATACACACAAATACCGTGAAGAGGATGGCGGCACTGCACAGCGTACAGGGGGTCTCGGCCTAGCACCTTCCTGCCCCTGCCACAGAGGGCGGCCAGAGGGAGGATTTCAGAGCAGAGCGGTAGCAGGAGCAGGGAGGGCTGTGCCTGCCGGAGGGAGACGGGCACACACACAGATCTGCCTTAGAGGAGAGTTGCAGGAATCAGTGTTCGGCTCGTTCCAAGGTGAAGGTGTTCCCCTCCCTGCAGACCCATCTGGGTGTCAGGAAAAGCACCTGTACTACAGGCTACAGAACAACCTCCTCCTCTGAGGGTCGGTTTACTTGTCACAATACACCAGCTCTGGCCTCGGAGAAGCAGGGAAATGAGAGGACCAGACCCCTTCTCACCCTGCTCCCATACGACAGTCTCTCTGAGACAACCCAGTATTTAACACCAACAAATTCAGGAAACTAACAGTGGTGCTCCTACACCTCCAGCTCTCTTACTGCAGTAGATCAAATCCCTGTCCAAAGATCAGCAAGTAGAGCTTTAAGAAAATGTGTTATTCATTTCACCCAGCTATAGGACACAGGAAATGTGAACAGGCGCATCTGTTCAGGCCTCCCAAAACACTCTTAAGCAAACAGCCCTTGTACACTGGGGAAAAAAGCCCAAAAGAGTGAACCATACTGTGGACAGAAGCAGGGCTCTCAGGTGGCTTGTCTGGTCTCGACAGTAGTAATCTGCACAGAAGAGAGGATGCAGCTTCTACAATTTACAGTCGTTTCCCACCAGATTGTGGTTTTGTTTTCAGAAGGAAAGGAAGACGCATGCCTCAGGGCAGAGATGTTCACTTTGTTGTGAGGGAGGGGGTGGGTGGCTTCCAGGGACCCTCATGTAACTAAGAAAAGGCAGCCCTTGTGTAGCCGAGAGCCAGTGACAAGGATCCGCAACACCACTTGAAACTTCAAGAGAGGGGTAGAGATGCTGTTACTACTGCTGTGAATGGCAACATCAACACCATCTTCCTACAGCCACACCTTCAGTGCTTGCCCTCATGCTACACTCTGAACTTCACAGGGGTTTGATTCTTGTTCTCTGACAGCCCACCATAAAAGACTGCATTTCACCCTGGTTTTGCTTTACATACTTCCCATCTCAATTCTCACCTGTCTGCAGGTGCTGATTTCTCACTGTCTGCAGGGGCTAGGGAGCTGTAAGAAAAACAAAGCACTGTCCTGTGCAGTACATGAAGCGCCTCGGCTCACAGCCCCGAAAGCAGCAACCAGCGAAGGCACCAAGGTACTCAACCTAGCAGCCGAGCTCAGAAACGCAGCCTTCCAAAGGAAACGCTGCCTGCCAAGGACACGCACTCTCGCGTCGGCATTACCTGTCACAGGGTCAGCAGAATGGGAGGCATCGCGCCAGGCCAAGATCAGTTTAGCAGGTGTCTCTACCCTTTATTTTAAATAAGGACCGCACCACCAAAGGTTTGCGAAGCCTACCTGGGAGGCACGCGCTGATCGCGGCTGTTACACCAGAGCACGGGCACAGCAGTAAACAGGCAAGTTGGCTTCTGTTCCGATAGAAACACCAGACAAAGTTTAATGGTTCTCAAACAGACTACAACAAAGGCTGCAGGGAAAAACATTTTATTTCCAAGCAGATTACAAAGAGCAGAGAATATAAGAGTAAAATTAAATTAAAAAAATAGTTGAGTGCATCTCTTTAAAATGATTTGTAGTGTGAGTTACTCACGGGGCAAAGCTACTGGAGAGTTCTGAAGGTCACTTTGCAGGATGCCAATCACATGTGCTGTTTAGACCAGGGTCAACACAGGAGGGACAGACAAGACTTATTTTGCATATAGGCTGCACACTCATTATCAAGCGAGGCTCTGGGCTGCAACTGGACCCTGCCTTTCCGAGACATCCCCTCCACCTCGTTCTCTCCTGCAGTTCCCTCTCAAGTTCTAGATGCGGTTTATTGCTGCTGTAATTGGGTTCAATCTGCCTCCCCATTCCCATGAGCTCAAACGAGAGCGGAGAAGCAGGCAAACGTGGCTGCCATGCACAATGTTATACAGGGAAAGCGACCGTGGTGCTGAGAGCCGCGCTTCAGCCACGCAACAAAGGGAACCGCCAAGTAGGGGACACAGCGATTGCTTCAGAGGTTTTGGGGCAGTGTGTCAGTGAGACTTCTGGAAGAAGATGCGAGATGCTCCTTAAGGGAGGAAGATGCTCGAGCTGAGAAGGGCTCTTTCCTATGCATTGGCACCAGTGAAACAGAACAGGCTGAAACACCAGGAGAAGGTACGTTCCCTGTAGTATTTGAGAGGAGCAGCTCCAGCAAGAAGATGGGGAGAAAAGCCCCGTACAGGGTGGAAGACAGTTTGTATCCCACTTTAACAGTGACTTAAGAGTCCAAATGCTAATTGCAGGTAAGTCGCTATTAAACTCAGATGAGAATAGTTTGGTTGGTCTGCGCAGAGTCAGGCAGTATCTGGCAGCACTCAGACCAGCAAGAGGATGAGCAACTATAGCATCAGCAAGTCCTCCACCCTGCATATGCTCAGAGGGCTCTTTTCTACTGCTAGATCCATTATCACAGCACAGGAGGCTTGAAGATGGCCTAATCCATGCTAGGTACACCAAGGCAGACAAGTAGCCCTGATGCAGTTGAGAACAAGACTGTCTTAATTTCTGCCCTAGGAGCAACACTGCTGAAGAGGATTCTTATTTAGGCATCAGATTAAGTCTTTTTTTTCATGGGTCCAAGGCAGAACAGTTCAGGAACTGCTTCAGACCTTGTCTCCCATCTAAAATCCAGGAGATCGCTAGGGGTGAAGCAGCCAACAGATGAGAGCCCTATGAAGTTTCTTAGACTGTTCCCTTTACTCACCACTCTAGACAGGAGTGAAGAACCACTCTCTAGTCCACTCTCCACTGCTTCAGCCATTACCACTTAGATGAAATGCTTGAACTCTTTGCAAGTAAATGAAAATCTAACGGTGCCACAGACAAGTGTGTGAGGCTACAAGTTTCCTTAGGAAAGCAACGCTATTAGTGTCAAGAGATAGGACAATACACGAGTCTCATGTCAGAACGTGAGGTGCTTTACAATAGTCAGTCATGCTCTGCTTTCTATGGTTCCTTTCATACCACAGAGACAAGATGGGCATAGTTTGAAACCAACCACGCAGGGTCTCTAGCTTGACTTCTCAGCTTTATTTATTTAGAGATCGATGCATTTTCAGTCTGTCTCATACAAGGCAGAGGGCATGGAGAGTTCTTGTTTAATATATACACGCATACAAGAGCTAGCGGTTTGGCACTCTCGGAGCCAGGGGGGGAATGCCCTTTAAGCAGCAGTCAAGCTGGTTATAGGAAAGTGTTAAAAAGCTATTTTACATGTTTGACTGGGAACTTTTCCCAGAACTTGGATAGCAACCCTAAGCCACAGCACTTGTCTGTGCTACTCTGTGCACATCTTCCTATGAGCCCCTAAAAGGGAGCAGATCATGTTCTTCGCTATCAAAGAACTCAGTATTTATATTCTAGAAATACTGTACCTTTTAAACTAGCTCCAGAGAGCCAGACTAGAAGCCAGGCCCATGAAAATAATCCTTAAGTCACAGTATATCGATTGTCTCTAAAAATAGGGAATGAAGTTAACACGGTGGACATTCTGATGAGACAGTACAGAACAGTACAGCAGTCCACTCCTGCGTCAGCAAATCCCTCTCCTATGTACGTCTGAACAATGAGAAAATAATGGAAACACTTCCGTCTGTCAGGACAAAACCAATCATCAGGAGATCTCCACAGCTCACCGTGTGCCAAGCTCCCCTGCTCTGAAGCCATGTACTCCGAGATCAAGGAGAACTCTTCCCCTACAAAGATTTTAGATCATCCTGCAGTTAGGGTAGCAAGGAGAGTGCACAATCTAGAATTTTAAACTAACATGGAATTCCATTTCCCCAGAAAGCTCAGCTGAAGTATCTGTTCACCCCTAACCTGGAACTGCCCAAACGTTCTGTCAAGTTATTCCAGCTTCTGGCAATTTTTAGAGTAAGAGGTGACTCCCAAGACCACCTAATAAAGCGACTTGTACACTGGGTAGGGTATCTGGCAGATGACTTCAACACCCACTGCATTTCTGATGGAGGCAGACAAAGCAGCATCTCACCCTGAGGTGCAGGCATGCTGGAGCTCTCTTCCCACACAGTGTTGCGGAGCACACACTGGGACTTGAGCGCAGGTTTCTCTCACATCTTTGCAACTGTTCAGAAGACAGGACAAACTGGGAAACCCACTCTGTGCAGGCCCGTGGGGCATCCTGAGCAACAAGCATGACCAGCCGCTTGAAACAGTGGGAGTTTGCCCCTAACCATGTCCTTAAATACTTAAATTAGGGCCAGAAATGGACATTCCAGTCACTAAGATATATGGCGAAGGGATTACAAGCTTCCAACAGCTGCAGCAGTATTAGCGATCCCAACAGCCACCCTACCAGGAGGTAACTGCTGGCTCCCAACAGCTGAACTGAGCTGAGGGTACGTGTTGCCAGCATTCCTTGCCACCCGGGCACCATCTTCCCAACTCACCCACTGGGATCTGGGCACCAACCTGGGGCTATTTCCCCCTGGCATAACTCTGAAGGCAGACACTGAGCTAAGAGTCTACTTTAGAGTACAGGTATTAATAAACAGTGTGTTGCTACTTTACCTCTCTGCACTTATTTGAGCACAGAGTCCTATACAAGGAACAAACTGCTCATACTGACAACCAGCTCAAGCACATCTGCCTTCCCACGAACACCAACATCAATATGAAGCATCAGAGGCTTGCAGTCTTTCTAAGCCCGCACACCTCAACACTGACCAAGAGCACAAAGGCAGGGAACATTATGGCTACTCTCATCCTATGTGCAGATTTACACTGCACACAACCGATAGAGATGGCGGACCTTCCTTCTCAATACAGACGGGTGCTGGTCAACAGAAGCTTCAGAAAAATTGCTTGCCTGTACACAAGTTTAAGTTCTTTTACTGTAACATATATTTAAATATATATCTATATTTGGAACAGGGAAGGGACATGAGATGGAGAAGCAGGGAAGACAAGTTCAAGAAGCAGAGTCATCTCTCTGCATCCAAGAAGCTGGTGGCAAACAAGCCTGGCTAGAGTGATCTCCCATTTCAAGCATGGCTGGCTACCCGCTGGCTTCAAAAGAGCAGACTATTTGATAACGATATAAAATACAGCAACCATTTAAGATGCAGCAAGGCAAGGCTACAGGGCTGGGGTTTATGATCATGAATGATGCCAGAAGCTACACAGCTGTGTTAAAAACTGTGAAAAGGCTGTTAAATGGCAGGAGTAAGCCACATGCTGCTCCTGGAAGGCCTTTTCCCTCCAACACCCCTCCATCATGCCGTTGGTGTGATGCGTTTGTAAAGGTGGGGAAAGGGGGGTTTGCCTAGGGGTGAAGCCTCACAGGCTGGCCACAGAACATTAGGACAGACTGACAGTCTGATCTGGTCTCACAGATCCCATGTTCCTAGCCTGACACTGAGCTTCCATCAGCAAGCAGACATTCAGGACCTTCAACGGAAGTTAATCCCCTTCTACCTTCCTAATTTGTAGGGGTGAAAGAAGTCCAGTGGAGTCGAGCTGGAAAGCACAAACAGGGATGAAAACAACCAGTTTGCATACTGATCTTTGTATAATGACCCCCCCCACCCTCACAGCTCACTCTTCCCCAAATAAAGACACATTGTTCAATGGCATGTTGAAAAGACGTGCTCGTCATTCTTAATAAACAACTAGAGTAAGAATACATAAGAGAAACAGGGTGGTATCTTTATATGATACACAAGTGTATGTTACAAGAATTCCATCAGGCACAGGAGCCTCAAGGTTTAAGGCCTCAATGTTAGGCCAAAAAAGAAGAGTGTGGTAAAGTTTGTACTTTTAACATCTAAAAATGTCACTTAAAGGTCTGAATAGAAATCGTTGGTTTTTTTGTATAAATCACAATTGCAGTTCACTCTCTCCTCTTCCTTCCAAGATAACAGCAAATTAACGTCCAAGCACAAGAAAAGAAGATGCCTGCCTCTCCTCCGCTGGCTGAGCAGGTCCATCCATCATTCTGTGCCCTCTAGGCTGCACGTGCTCCAGGGAGACAGAGGCCTCAGCCATCCAGGCCAATCCTGTAGTTCATGTTTTCTACATCATAAAAAAAACCAGAGTCAACCAGCAGCTTTCCACAGCTCCCAGCTTGCAGGGGATATGCAGCCTCCAATGGTTCCAACAGTTTGGTGTGTTGGGTAGCATACACAATGGGTAGGTTTTCCTTTAGATTCTTTTAAAGAGAAGAAGCCTAAAAGGGCTTCATAACTACACCAATAAAAAACCAAAAACTTAGGCATCTCCTTTAGTGTAAAAGTCTGTACAATTTATCTTTGCTTGTCCCTCCCCCGTCACCCCATCCCACCCCTTCTGAGCCAAGAAGGATGCCTTAGTGCATGGTGCTGGCATTAGCCACGGCAATAGCTTCCTGAATCTCTCGTATCACCAGGATCCGGGTGAGCATCTGCTCCATCTGCTCTCTGCTGATCGGCTGGATGGAATACCAGATAGGGCTGTTGGGGGCCACCACTGGCTCCGGTGTCAAGTAAAACGTGTCATTCCGGCCTTTCACACTCTGGGGGCTGTGTGAGGAAGATCAGAAATAACCCAACTAACGGAATGTCCTGGGAGGGAGAGACCACCTCTGTCCTCGCCCCAGGCTTCACAAATCCTGACAGTGAACATCTGGCTGGTGAGACATGAAGGTATGGAGTCACATCTAGCAGCAACAGTGGTCTCAAAGTTTAAGCCATGCCAAGCTTAAAAAGTCATAGTGACAATTACAAGAAAGTAATTTTTATTTCACACTGGCAAGTATAAACACACACATGGCTTTAGGGGTCTTTCAGACTGAAGCAAGGATGGGGTATTTTCACATCCAGGCTAGCTGCAGACCCATCTGTGCAGAGGAACATTTACATTAATTATCAGAACCATAATTTAGAGGAGATTCCTTTGACGGTCCCTCCAATCTCCATAGCAAGTCCTCATTTTTGTTCAGAAGCCAATTTGAACGGGACCCTAATCTCATCTCAAGTAGTGGATGCTTCCAGATGACTTGCAAGTCACAGGCAGAACAGTGAGCTCATGCCAACGCAACAAACCTCCAGAGTGAGTACAAGATTAAGAGCAGCCAGTTCACAAATCAGGATTTGTCTCTTAAATACCACAGAAGTTCAACTTACATGCCATCAGAGTAAATCCCACCCTCTCACATCAACACCCCTCCCTGTTGAAGTAAATTTATGCAAACATAGAAACTGTGGCAGCAATAAAACACAGCCCTGAAAACTAGGCCAGCCACAAGATGTAGCTTAACAGTCACAGAAGACAAGCAGCAACCATACACATGAACAAGAGCTCTCACCATTTGAAGAGGTAGAAGTCATACAGCTTTATCGGACACCTCAGGGGGTTCTCTGGATTCTCAGTCTGCTCTGCGTACATGTCATCTGTAACTACAAACCAGCCCCCCAGAAGTCTGTCAGACACTCTAAGTACAGCAAACTGAACAGTGCCATACAGCCTCGGCACTCCGTGAAGCACCTTGTCACCATGCAAGAGACACACGGCTGTTCCAGGGCAGAGGCACCTGGTTATAAATGCTCAAAGCATTATTTGGAGAGCTTGCTTTATCCCAAGGCTACTGAAGATCACGACCCACCCACATCCTTCTTTCCATTTCTCTTCTACCTATGCCCAAAATGAGAGAAATCTCACTACTGAGACTGCAATGCCTCAGCTAAATCCTGAGTCTGTGCTTTTAAGAGGATAGATTGTACTTACATATGGATTCTATATGGGTTCACATGCGTCAAGATAAGA